GATTGATTGATTTATTGATTAATTGATTGATTGATTGATTAATTGATTGATTGAAACATAGTATTCATGAAAACCTAACAAAACCAGAAAACCTAACATTTTTTGTAGAATGAAAAAGTGAAAGTCAAACTTTTATTTTTGACACATAAAAGAGAGCGTTGTTAACTGTTTCCCGAGAAAGGAGGCAAAAAATTTGGCAGAAAGTCCAGCGGTTCTCAAAATGTGCAAGAAAATATTTTCCAGCAAAGAGCACGTTATAGGACTATAAGTCGTTCTTATTAGATTGACAAAAAGCATAGCTCAAACAAGACAATCTTAAAGGTCTTCAAGGCGAACTCGAAAGATGTTAAAAAAAAACAGTTTCAGTGAATACTCATTTATAGAACTATAAGTCGTTTTCTGGAGTTTGGTAAAAACCAGATTCTGGGAAATCGAGTTTATAGAACTATAAATTAATATAAATCCATTTTTAAGATAACTGTAAAACCCTTGTCAAAAAATATATGTTATGTAAAGGAAGAATTCAAACAACTTTGCAAGGGAGACATCTTCAAATTCTTATCCAACCATAATTTAAAATTAAAAAATAGAAAATTATTAAATAAAAAACACTAAAAAAAATATATTTGTCCATGTATGAGAGAACATATCCAAGCAAATGTATTCATGAACAAGAGAGCATGTGTGCGTGTTTGGGAGACCCCCGAATAGGTTCGTCGTGCTACATACCTTATAGAACTATAAACATGATTTTTTCAGATAAACAAAAAATTGGGATAATTCGGTGCCTGAACAAACGGTGCTTTGCAAGGTAGTGATTTAAAAAAAAAAAACTTGTTTCTCTCCTCATCACTTCCAGTGGTTCTGAAAAAGTACTTTCCTATTCCTTTTTTGCGGTTAATTAACTTCACATAAAATTTTGTTCGTGTAGGAGGCCTGCAAAATGTACTATCAGAATCTTTAAAAATTTTCGTACAAACCTAACAATGTTTTTTGTTAGGTTTTCACGAATACTATGTTTTGATTGATTGATTGATTGATCATTAAAAAAAAAAAAAAAAACATATGAAAAAAAAATGACTGATTGATTAGTTGATTGATTGATTTGGGGGGCGGTCACCTCCCCTCTACGTACAAACACACACAATCGAAAGGTGAAAAAAAAAAAGAATCACTCGATCAATCGAAAAGGGGAAGAAAAAAAAAAACATTCGTTTTTTTAATTTTTTTTCTTTCGATTGATTGATTGTGAGGGGGTCGTCTCCCCCCCGTGCACACACACACACACACACACACACACACACACACACACACACACACACACACATACACACACACATACACACACACACACGCGCGCGCGCGCGTGCACACGCAAGCGCACACACATAAGAAAAAATGAATCAATGGAAAGATCAACACACCTCTCTTTTCGCCGAACACTTGTAATTAACAATGTGGTGTTGGCCTCAATATGGTACAAATCAACACTTTGGGCAATTGGTAAGCCACGGATTAAGCACCTTCAAAAACAAGTGTCGACCTTTCTTTGGAGGGGGGATTATGAACTAGAGAGCGTTATCCTTAGAGTGGTTTGGTCCACCCTGATATAACCTAAATCTATGGGAGGTTTGAGAATTTTGGACCCTATCCTCCAATATCAAGCCTTGTCCTTAGAATGGATGATAGATCTCATTTTATGTATTGACAAACCCTGGCAACCTATGGTTCTTGAACAAATAAGAAGACTGGTGCCGAGTACTCCTTCAGAGGTGCACCCCCTCACTTGGGTGGAAAACAAATTCTGGAACATCCCTCGACCGTGTGCACATTCAAAGCTAGAAAGAGAGAGAGGTGCAGCTCGTGTTGATCTTCTTGTGGACAATCTATGGGTTTCTCTTATGAAAACATGGCGGAAACTGCCCTTATCAAATAAACCTTATCCAGCACGATTTGAAGAAATACTGAGGCAACTTTTATTCGGGAACAGATGTATAACTGATGTTAATGGTTGTATTTATAATAGCTCTTCAACCCCGTGGTCTCGGTAGGTGAAAAAAGGGGTAGTACTGGTCAAAGACATTTGGGACCACGATAAGAGAGATTTGATGTCGATTAATCAGCTTAGGAAAATAATTTCATATGTTAATAAACTAACCCAAGACTTGGATCAAACCATTCCTCTGACCTGGGTAAGAGAACTAAAAAAAGAAGTAAGATTTCAGGAAGCACATGACCCACAATGTTGGCAGGTGGGACAAATAGTGAGTCTACTAGAAAGAGGAGCTTTGGTAACTCTATTCAGAATAACTGCAAATCATTTGCTCCGTTCCTCACAAACTCACCAAGTTAAGTTTTTCCCTTTCAAAGAATTTTTTAGGACTATAGTGTTTTTTACCTCCGCAACCACAGGCTGGAGAGTATTTCATCCACAATGCCCAATTCCGGGCCTACCTTTGGACCCAGCTAAATGGGTATGGCAAATTGGGAAGAAAACTAAACCACGCACCTTGCAGTCCCTCTCGATTAAGGCAATATATCGTTTTTTGAGACCAAGAGTGGATGTGCCATCTATAATAAGGGGCTGGTGAGTCAAACATATGAATATTGATGTGCACAAAATCCAAAATATATTTTTTTTTAACAAGCTAAAACAGAGATCAGCCAAGTTCTCCTCGCTACAGTGGCAAATACTTCATAGGTGTCTGCTCACTACTGACTGGCTTATTGGTTACACTAACTTAGAGCTGTGTCGTCCCCCGTACGGACCGTACGGACGGAAGGATGGACGCCCGTACGGGCGTACGGACGTCTTCCGTACGAGCGTGCTACGGCCCAAAGGGGGGATGCTAGGGGGGGTTTAAGGGCATGGGGTGTTGGGGGGGGTTGCTGGGGGCACAGGAGTGTTGTTGAAAAAAATTATTATTATTTTTTTTTTGGTGAAAAATGAGAAAAAAAAAGGACTGCCCGCGTCCCCGCGGGGCTCAGCCTGGCAGGCAGTGGTGCGTGGCAGGGCTGTTTCGAAGGAGAGGCCGAAGCAGCCCTGCCCCGCGCCACTGCCTGCAAGGCTGAGCCCCGCAGGGATGCGGGCAGTCTTTTTTTTTCTCATTTTTCACCAAAAAAAAAAAAAGGGACTTCGTGTGGACTGGGCGGGCTTTGGGACCGTCGTGTGCTTATATATGAGGTTGTGCCATAGTTGTGGGCGTCAACACCAACACTTTTTGTTGTAGCCCACATTTGTGTTGTCGCCCACGCGACAGTGGTGTTGGAGGCTGATCACGGCAACACACACACACACACACACACACACACAGAGAGAGAGAGAGAGAGAGAGAGAGAGAGAGAGAGAGAG